ACTGGATGACCTTGCAGACTGCCCCCAGAGTCAACAGAGGAAATGTTTTCCAGTAAAAGTGTCTGGGGAACCTTTGCTTTCACCTGTTATTTTGTGTTTTACAGGTGCAAAAACTGAGCTCCTCAAATTTTTCTGTATGAATTGATCACTGCACACCATCTCCTTCACAGAACTAACACAGCGACAAATTACAAATAGTAATTTTTGCATGTGACTTGTTCTGAAAATCAATGGCTTATTCCATTTTAGAAATAGAAATAATAATAAGTAGAAGAAGAAGAAGAAGAAGAAGAAGAAGAAGAAGAAGAAGAAGAAGAAGAAGAAGAATATTTATAGCCTGCTCTTCATTGAATGTGTTCAATTCAAGAGAATGGAAAAAAGACTACCACACAAGCAACAGAGCAAAATACATACACAACAGAAAAATTGGGTGGCAATAAGCCATAGCTGGTATTTCTCTTCCCTTTCCAGGAAACTTATGGGCCACAAGGTCAGTATGGCTGCTAGGAAAGACATGCAAGTGGATTTGCTTGATCTCTCCCATAAGGGCCAACAATTTACTTTAATTTCTATTTATGTGTGTGTAACATCTGTTCCTGTAGAGAAGGGGTTCTCTAAATGATCCTGAGTAGTATATCTATTTCAGTACTATTCACTTTTGTTCTTGACAAGAAAGAGTCAATTGACTCAGGAGATACCAGTTCATTGGTATTTAAGGATCTAAAGCCTTGTCATTCCTTGGGATTATTGGTTTTCCTGCAAACATAGTGGGTGGTCATTTCCTAGAAACAGTATCAGATGTCAAATAAGGATCACACCCAAATAACTTGACAACAAAATAGGGCTAAGTTGAAATTTCACAGAAAATAATTTACTGACAAATGTTTGAAGCTTTTCTCTTTCTTTTTGAGTTCCTTTATAATATCTCAGAATTTCAGTCTTTTCCCAGAGAATAATTTGCAAAATTACCCCCCCCAATATTGCCAACCATTAATTTTGGGCTCAGTTGTAAATCCAATTTTAATTTTTCCTACGTAGTCTCAAACTGCGTCTGTGCACAACTGATGTGCATCTGTGCACAACTAATCTCTGTTCTGCTCTTTTTATTCTCAGAGACCAAGACAGGGAGGTGAGCTGGTTGCAACTCTGCACTCTGCCATAGACTCTTCCTGCTCACTAAACCCTGTTGCCCTTCCAGATTCTGACACCTTCTCCCCCCAGTCTTCTCCCTCTGGTCACTCATTGTTGTCCCACTACCAATCCCCTGGCTCTGAGCCTTCTCCCCCTGGGGGTTCCTATGGGGGTTTCCCGGCTGGTTCCTCCTACCAATCCTCTATATTCAGCCAGTCCATGACACCTACTTGGCAATCTGATACCAGACTTTTCACAAGTATTAATACTATGTGAAGTACCAACATGTTAAATCTATACCCACTTCCAGCCCACCACAGTCTTAATGTGATGAAGTTTAATCTTTGAAATACTAAACAGGCTCTGAATATGCTAAAGGATTGCTGAGCAACCAGAGTTTGGAGCTAGGTTACAGAAAACAGTTTAGGTTCTGAAGGGACTGAACTTTGATATCTGTGAGTCTGGTACTACAGGTAAAAAAAAGGTAAAGGACCCTGGATGGTTAAGTCCAGTCAAAGGTGACTATGGGGTTGCGGCACTCATCTCGCTTTTAGGCGTTTGTCCACAGACAGCTTTCCAGGTCATGTGGCCAGCATGACTAAACCACTTCTGGTGCAACAGGACACCATGACAGAAGCCAGAGTGCAAGGAAACACCGTTTACTGGTACTACAATCTCCCCTCTGGCCCCATAAGATCAGCTTAGGCTGTGCTAAATTAACATATAGTTGGAAAGATGACACAAAGGCCCAATGTCCATACCTATAATAGAAACCCAGTCTGTGAAGAGTGCCCTGATTTTTACCCTGAATGGGTAGCAGAAGCAGCAGCATGCAATGACCCGTCTTGTGTTAACAGCCATGGCCAAAACGAAAAATGATGTTGAAAGCTATAAAGCAACATTTCAAGGAGTATGCTGTAGCTAAAATATACTGATATGGAACATTACGTGATTACCACTGAGAAATTTACTGTTCAAGCAGAATTGTTTGCACCATTTGACTAGAAAATATGGCACATCTTCTGACAAGGATAGGCTTATTGAATTCTTCTTCTTCTTCTTCTTCTTCTTCTTCTTCTTCTTCTTCTTCTTCTTCTTTAAAAAAAAACTTGCTATCTCATCCAAGGATAATACACACTTCATGCTGCACATGTAGGTGAGGAAAAAACACTGGAATCCCCTAATAAGTATGCAGAGCAAGAGCATACATTGTGGTTTCAACACCAGGCTGCTTATTTCCAGGGAAATGCCATCAAGGAAGCCTTTTTCCCCAGGTTGTGTCAGGTAAGGAAAGCTGAAAGGCTGTGCATACACATGCTTTCAACAAGTGCTGGAAACCAGAGCCAGAATTCAAGGGGTGAAGCCCCATCCTTTGATACTTTTCCGGGGTCAGAGAAAGGAGCAGCAGAGAAGCTGAGAGGCTGATAGTCATACAGCATTATCTGGCAGAGTTAGATGAAGTCGAGAGTTAACTGAAGCACAGAAGGAAATTAAAGAAAAAGAGTGGGGGGAAACTGCATGCTGCTTCCTACTCAGTTCTCTCTAGAAAGACGACGCTGAGAGTTTGACCTCTTTTTCTACACTCTGCAAATGAGTCAAATCACAATGGTATGGAGACATAATAGCTGGGTTTAAATGGCAAGGGGGAGCGGGGAGTGGGGCCGAGAGAAGCTGATAACTCCAACATTTTTACATCCCTCAAGTGTGATGAGTAATGGACCTTTTCAGCAAAGCCAGCACATAAATTGCTTATGAACACACAGTTATAGGAATAAGCACTTTAGTGCACACGGCTGTTTAAAATGGATGGTATCCATTTTATCCGGGAATTGTGAATTTATTTGAAAGGAGGGACAGGGATTAAAATGACTGAAAAGTTCATTTTTTTGGGTGGTGGGGAGGTGCATAGAGCAAAGATCTACCTGCTAAATAATAGCAAACAGCAAATGGCAGCTGGCAGTTGTTGTTATATTGTTAGTACCTCTAGAGGGCAGTGAATAAAAGAAAATAGAACACCAAGAAGCCAGCCATGGCACACAAATCACAGTGCAGTTTTAATACACAGTGAACAACCTCACATCCAAAAGCTAGCCTGCATTTCTCATGTTAACATGTTTTATTATTTTGCTTCTTCACCCTATAGCCCCTTTTGTCCTTGTCCCAAAGGAAATTAAGACTACTATATATATGAAACTACAGTGGATTACTCATCATAATATCTTTGGCTTTGCTTTCCTTCAACCTGTTTCCTCCCAACTAAATTTGAACTATAACACAGGGACCTGTCAGCAACCTGAAGCAAAGAGATGTTGGTGACTGGCTGGCTGCATTTAAATAGTATTTTATCCTGTTTGAAACCAGCTGAAGTTTGTCAGTGCTAATAATGAATAAGCTTGTTACAGCTTATTTGAACATTTAAGTTAGAATGAGATATTCCTCATATGCATTTTTTCAGGGGGAGGGACAAGTGAAAGCTTAGTGAAAGGAAGGAAGATGGATCAACAGATTTGCCTGAGAATGGGGAAAAGATATTTTATTTTATTTAGCAGCAACATGTGTTGTTTAAAACATCCATATAAGATTTAAACTGGTTTTTGAATTTGCTAGTCTGTAATTCAAATATCAGCCCTACATTGGCTATGAATTAAAAAACAACAACCATGCTTCCCTGTGATGTTTCAAGTGTCACATGCCAAAAAACCCCCTAAGGTATAACTTATCCTTACTTTAAATGTGTGATTAGAATCAACCAAGTTCAGGTCTCCTGAAGAGGGTCAGGAAAAGGGGATTTAAGCCTTTCCACTACAATCCTGAAAGGGGGGGGGAGCTTTTCTGCATGGAAAATCGAAATTTGAAAACAACCCCCCCCAAAACCCAGTTGCTTCCTAAACTTGTTTTTAATATATTTTTTTTTACAAAAAAACCTGATGTTGCTTTAAGTGACACGTTTACAGTAATGTATAGTTAGCCCCTAATTTAATACTAGAAATAGCCATTTCACTACTTCAAAAATAGTTGCACAAGACTAACTCCATGGTGTGGATATCAGAAAGGACACTTTGAGTTATAACAGAAAATCCAGAACAAAAGATATAGTGGGCAATCATGCATTCACCAATCTGGCATTATCAAAACGAACCTCAGGTACTGAGATGACCAATTTGAACTAAAAGGGATTTTGTCACAAGTGGTCATTCAATCTCATACACAGTGTGGGGTGGTGGCACCTGGGCACCCAATCAATCAGATCAGTAACTTACTTACAGGCGCGCACACATTTTTACTCCTTCTATAGGCTGAATACTGCCCTTGAACCGATATGCAATATTGCATAATTTGCAATATTGCATAAAATTGCAATATTGTGAATGTTTACCCACATGTCCGACTGCATTCAGTGGGATTTTCACCACTGTGAGTGTGTACAGGATTACAGCCCTAGCGTGTAAAATATTTCATTTTATTCAAATATTCAAACCGGCTTTTTATTTCTCCAGTTTTCTTAAAAAATAATAAGTAAATTGTAAAAGGTGAAAGATTTATATAATCTGAAGAGAAACCAGAGTACTGTTGTCAAAATAGCTGTATTACTTTTATACCCAATATACATATATTGTATTATAATAATACATACAATGTGTGTGTGTATGTATTTATTGTATTGTAGTTTTAAGCATTGTTTTGTTTTTGGGATTTTCTATTCATTCCCTTCACTGCATTTCTATACTGAAAATTTTCAATAAAATATAAATATTTAAAAATAAACAAACAAACAAATTGTATGCTACCTGCATTTCGGGTTATGTTTTATGTAGCAAACATTGGTTTTGTTTTTGAATTATGTGTTTTTGGTAAGAAAAGGAATGTACCTGAACTCTTTAGGGTCACTTCATTTCCCAGAAGAGTATGTTGTTTCATTGCAACTGGATGCATTCTGGAAGAAAAAAAAGCATAAATAAAAAAAAGATAAATGAAACTAAACATAATTCTTCCCATCAACAGATAGTGAAATATTTCTGAAAAGGATTAGGCTGCATCCTCCCTCCCCCCTGCCCCAAGTTAATGTGTAGCCTCTATATGATCTTTGCTGATCATTAAATCCTAGTCTGAACTGGTTACAATATTACTTAGGCACATACTTTCTAGTTGCACTAATAAGATAAGTTCATTATCTAATAACAATACATGCTGTAGACTAAGTAGATGAAGGCTTCCATGTGAGTAATATCATTCCCCTTTTGGGTAGATTAAGGTTGCAATACTATGCACAGTTGTTGTTGTTGTTTTGTTGTTTAGTCATGTCTGACGCTTCGTGACCCCTGGACCAGAGCACGCCAGGCACTCCTGTCTTCCGCTGCCTCCCGCAGTTTAGTCAAACTCATGTTGGTAGCTTCGAGAACACTGTCCAACCATCTCGTCCTCTGTCGTCCCCTTCTCCTTGTGCCCTCAATCTTTCCCAACACCAGCGTCAGTTACTTAGGAATAAATAATCCTATTAAATTAAAGGAACACTTCTGAGTACAGATGGTTATGCTTCAAAAGGAACCCTCAACTTAACCTGGAAATAACTTGAGTTGAGTTCTTCCCCCAAAGAAAGAATTGGAAAAGATTAGATAATATTCCCCAACCAATCTGAGGCTTCATAAATCCCTATGAAAAAGATGCTTTACAGCTAAAAGCCTAGAGTGGGGAGGAGGTCATCCTCCTCCATGAAGACCTACAGGGTGACTTTGACTATCCCTGCTGAGGGCAGACTAATAGAGCTACTAAAATACATTAAACCTGTATGGGTTATAGGGGAAATTCTACAGGTGCAAAACTCTGGATTTCTCTCTAGATAAGGTTTCAGTCTATGTTGGAGAAAAATGAGGGGGCATTTGAAACTTGTCTTTCTTTCTTTGCAGCAGGCTTTAATGAGTCCTCAAAGTTCCTGTCAAGGCTCACTCAAGAGAACATCACTGTTATCTATTTCTGAGTAGGCATAAATAGAATTGGGCTGTATTTCAGAGAAAGGATAATTTGATTACAAAGAATATGGCCTATTATAGTTTTCACTGGAAAAAACACAAAATTTATTATAAAATGAAGAAAACAAATGTGTGTGTGCTGCTTTGATTTTTCTTCTTTGGGAGTCATTTCACATAGGTAAAGGTAAAGGTACCCCTGCCCGTACGGGCCAGTCTTGACAGACTCTAGGGTTGTGCGCCCATCTCACTCAAGAGGCCGGGGGCCAGCGCTGTCCGGAGTCACGTGGCCAGCGTGACATCGCTGCTCTGGCGCCACCACGGAAACGCTGTTTACTGTACCTTCCCGCTAGTAAGCGGTCCCTATTTATCTACTTGCACCCGGGAGTGCTTTCGAACTGCTAGGTTGGCAGGCGCTGGGACCAAACAACGGGAGCGCACCCCACCGCGGGGATTCAAACCGCCAACCTTTCGATCGGCAAGCCCTAGGCGCTGTGGCTTTTACCCACAGCGCCACCCGCGTCCCTGTCATTTCACATACTCTGAGGCAAATCATCCTGAAACTAGTGGAAAAAAGTTCTTTTTTATTCTTTAAAACAGAATAGAACATAAAAAGACACTTCCATTCATTCTGAGTGCAGATGCAAATAAAATATTACATCATAGTTTTACGTGCAAAGCTTTATTGATTGCATATTTCCCAATGGTATGTGTATCATTTCTAATTTGATTTCTCCCCAATCTTTTCTTGCACCACATCAATATCATATGTTCTATGCTCTTACGGATGCAGAAACCAATTTTAAAAGAAGCATCTGTATGGAAATTATTGAAGACACTCAATGACATCTAAGTTATTTTCCTCTTTGGAAATTTGAAATACCCCCCAAACAAAACATAGCCTAAGGGCATCTAACTGCATTTGCACATAAATGCCACCCGCACCCCCAATCATTGTTATATTGCAGGCTTCCATCTCTTGCAGGGAGGGGGAAGCTGTCTTCTGTATTTATGTTACTTTGTGAAATGTTATATACATGGCCTATGTAAACATCAGCACATTACTTTTGAAAGGTATCCTTTTTTGAGGACCTGCAATTCTTTAGGGACCATAATGAATGCAAATTATATAGGGAGGCTGCAAAATGCTAACAAATGATTTTATCTACCATGGCCTAGATCTTAAAAACAACTAACTCACTCCACAAGGTCTTGTTTTTATCATACAACAGCTTCCGAGATACCATGGCAATTACATTCTGAAACTGTGAGGAGTTTCAAAATTTATAAGGTGGGTGGTGGGGGAATCCACTTTTTAATCCTAAACCCTTAGGCATTTTTAATGTCTTAAAGGGAACATGAGTAATGTCATGCCACATTAGACCAATAGTACATGGAGCTCAACTTTTTTTTTTTATCTAACCATGACTAACCAGATGCCCAGGGCAACTCCTAAGATGACAACACCAATCCTTTCATGTGTACCTGGATAACACAGGTTTTGTTCACATTGCTCCATAGGGAGCCAGCATCCTTGTAGCTAGGGCAGCCTGCAGTATTCGGTAGGTAAGTAGCCAGGGGATGAACACAAGTGGCAAATGGTTTCAGGGCAAATATTCAGTGGAGGCAGCAGTGAGCAGGTGGGGAGGGGGCACAATTCACCACCCCACCAATCTGGTGTCTGAGCCAACAGGCTAGCCTCAGATCATGGCAGGGCTGGCCCTTATGAGGCAAGTCCTTATGTAGGGCTCAGCAGAAAAATGCCCTTCAGCCACAGTCAGCTTTAGGGTGAGCCTCATTTGGAATCAGTAGCTCAGTTGTAAGGTCTGCCTTTACTAAGGGGGGAAAATGTGCCTCCAATTACTTGTAAAGTGCAGCTGCTCCAGCAATCTTTTACTCCAGCACAGCAAGGGAGTCCCTTGTTGCATTCCAAGTCACAAGATGACAATGCAACATATTTGGGGCAGAGGTGCCCTAGTAACCATTGGGCTTCTCTTGGGGACATGCTTCTGGGTGTGGAGCTACATGCAATGTCCTTTCTTATTCAGAGGTCTTATTCTCACCCCCTGAAAAAAAAAAGGAATCCAGTCCCAGGGACCTGGCACATAAGATGCTACTCTGTGAAAATATTTTATACAGGCTAATTGTGCAGAGTATGAAGAACTCTTCCCCTTCTTACACTCATTGCATGTTAAATGCATCTTCATTGCATGCAGAGTTCTGAAAGGATAGGATTCTGGGGCTGTAGTTTGTGATCTGCCCAGTCAGTAAAGGATGCTACTCTACCACCTGTTCCAATATGAATCTTTCTATGCATTCATAAAGATCTTCATGAGTTCCTTCTCCATATTAGCAATGGGTGTGACATATGGCATTCATTATCATGGCACCACAACTGTACAATGTTCTGCCCCAGGGCCTACTGGGTCCAAGGATCTCAGGTTCAATCCCTGGAATCTCCAGGTAGGGCTGGGAAGTACTCTGGTATGAAATCCCAGAAAGCAGTATTATTAAACTGATTTGTACAATGTGAAATTCTTCGTTGTCAAATATTCCCTGTTGTCGCATGCATTCCACACAGAACTAAACCTAAGGCATTGGCAAAGGTGCTAGATGTTGGTTAATGAGAACACCTTGCATCCTACATTTTGAAACTGGAGCTATTCTCCAAATATTACACAGTAATTCTTTTTTCTTTTTTTTTAGTTGTAAGCAAATCCCACTGAAATAAATTGTAAGTGCTTCCCATCATCATTATCATCAAGTTTGTTTATATTCAAATAGCACATTGAACCACTTGAATAGCCAACATATTCAAAGAGGTTGAGGTTGCAGCATTCAGATGAAGTAATATTAGAGCCATGAAAATGTAAACTTCAATGTGGATTCAGTTCTTCCTCCTAAAATAATCACAGCAGGAAGAACGGCTCCAGCAGTTGAATTTTTATTTTGTTTTCCCCATGCTGGGTGAAAGTCACAAGATCAACATAGAGTTTTTAAAAAATGATGTGCAATCACCAGCACTCTGGAAGTATCCATAAGGCTACCATCATTATCAGGAAGCTAATGAGAACACTCAAACATATTTAAGCCAGCTTGTTTGGGAAAATGCTCACGTGAAACAATACACAGTTCATGCTCTTGATCTTTTATTCTCATTAACAATGGTGATCAAGAATAGACAAGGAGCAGCTATGCTCATATAAAAAAATTAAACAATTTCAGAGAGTGCAATTTAAGACAAGGGAATTAGAGCATGACTTGCTTTTTAATTATTATCACTTTAAAACAAAATGATCAAAACAAATTCCTATTCTGACATTATTCTTCCTTGATGTAAATCTGCTAAACCTCAGAGCCTGTAATGATCTCAGTTGTTCCAGAATCAATATAATTATCTGGATAATATGCCATTTTAAGGAAGGTTGGCATTTGGAAAACATGATTTGATGAAAGAACTCAAATAATAGGACTGCCTTCTACACCATAATTTCCTCCCTAAACAAGCTCCACAATAGACAATATTTTCCTATTCCTTGCCCCATACAGGAAGGCTCCTGGTTGTGTACAGTTGCATCAGCTTTGTCTGTCTTGAGATGATCATAATGGATGTACAGCCATATCTTGGAAGTTGAACAGAATCCATTCCGGAAGTCCCTTTGACTTCCAAAACATTCAGAAACCAAAGCGTGACTTCTGGGTTTACGGCATTTGGGTGCCAAAACGTTCGAGTACCATGGTGTTCAGGGTCCAAGGTACGACTGTACATTAGCCTGGTTGATATTAATATAAAAATGCTATTTGGACTAAAAATATGATAGATGTAAGAAACACTTGCCAGTGGTAGATGTGAAAAGGATCTAGGGGTCTTAATAGACCTCAAGCTTAACATGAGTCAACAGTGTGATGCAGCAGTTTAACAAAACAAAAAAAAGCTAATGCTATTCTAGGCTGCATCAACAGAGGTACA